ACCCTTCATAGGAGGACTTTTTTGTAAGAGAAACTGTGTACAGCTTTGCTGACTAGGTGCTGCATGGCTCCAAGGGGTGCCAATCACAATGTAATTCATGTGTATGTTTCACAGATTTTTCCTTGCACAGCTCTGGGGGACAATAATTACACTGCATTCTACGCAAGTGGCAACCCTTGGAGTGTTACAGTGCACAACCCACACAGCCTTACATGGCGGCCCTTGCTCTATCTCAGTCTGAAGTTTGTTGGCTCCAAAATGAACCCTGCCTTGGAGCAGAGAAAGCGAGGATTTTGTAGTAAATGCTACTGATGCACTGCCCCATATCTCCTTGGTTCACCTGTAGCTATGGTAAACAGTCCCTGGCACACCGACAACGTCTCAACTCAGGAATCAGTGTTTCTCATCCTCTGCCTGAGTGCTCTCTCCTGGGCTGGGAGCTTTGCTGGAACCTTCAATATATGTGGGTAAATCAATGACCCAGCCCTCACTCTAATAGGGAGATTTTGTACATTTTCCACATTGTTTCTCAGAGGTTCCCCAGGAGAACTGAGCCCTAGTTGCCTCCAGCCCTAAACTGCTGTTTTGTGTTTTTTTGTGGTTTTTTTTTGGTACGCGGGCTTCTCACCGCTGCGGCTTCTCACCGCTGCGGCCTCTCCCGCTGCGGAGCACAGGCTCCGGACGCGCAGGCTCAGCGGCCATGGCTCACGGGCCCAGCCACTCCGCGGCATGTGGGACCTTCCGAGACCGGGGCACGAACCCGTGTCCCCTGCATCAGCAGGCGCACTCTCAACCACTGCGCCACCAGGGAAGCCCTAAACTGCTGTTTTATGCACACTTTATTGCCTTTTTGCCCTTTTCTGTCTCACTTTTTCCACTTTCTCATTTGTGCTTTCCAGGAATTGTCTCCCCCCAAAAAACTACCTGCACCCAAGTCTCTGTCTCAGGGTCTATTTTAGAAGAAATTAAGACAGATGCCATTAGGAACAAGTGACCTTAGTTGGTTCTGTAACCTGACTGCTGGTCCAGGGCTAAATACACGTTGGATGAATAAATGAATAATTCTTGTACAGGGTAACGGTCTGCCTCCACTGATCATGAAGGTGGGAAGTAAGAAGACCGTGTTAGGCAGTGAGTTCTCATGCCCCAAACTGCATCTGTGACAACATGACAGAAAACTCAACTGCCCCTCACAAATGCAACAAAGCGTTGCTCCATTGCAGATGCAAATGACTGCTCCTTTAGCCAGCCCTGCATAGTTCACATTGTAATTTTGAGTAGGGAGAAGTATAAGATCCTTTGTACGTATGCTATAAAAAGTCTCTCTCCCCCGCCTCAAATTCTCTTCAAGCTCCTAATAAAATACCTGCAGACACCCCCATTCTGATCTTGGACACAAAGCCTTGAGATAACCTAGCTTTGGAAAAATGATGAGTGCATCTGCTTCCTAACCAGAGAAAGATATAAGATTCTGGGGACAGGGAATTTTAAATCCATTTCTTTGTTCTTTAAAATCATTCCTTTATCTGTGAGCCTCAGCAATGCTTTTTGCTCTCTAATTCAGGGAGGAATACATGTGCAAAGAGTGTGAAATTAACAGAGTGTATGCACAATCTCGATAAATAAACATGAAAACCTTTTCGTTGCACATGGCTAGCTTCATTCAATTAGTGAAATGTTAAAACACTGTTGCATTGTACAACCTAACCTCTTAATCTGTGGAAAAACTAAATAAAACAAATAAAAAGCTAGTGGATAAAAAAAGCTTGGAATTCTTCTGTTTCCGGCAAAGTACTCAGCCAAACATGGAAGCAGCAGAATCTGCTTTCCAGAATTCTCATTTCCATCTCACAGCACCTTTAGTCCCCCTGGTCAATACCCTTCCCCACCTCCTAGTACCACACGGTCTTCCTCTCTGCAGTCAACTAACTTTCCAAAACGTTAGCTGATAGCTAAGGCAAGAAGAGTGGTTTAACACATTCATGGCAAACATATTAGAAAAGCCTTCACTTTGTCTTACTGTGCACATCGCACACATTGCTAATCTATTGCTGAAACAGCATCACACTGCTCAACAGACTGCTACCAGCAGACAGCAGGAGTCAGGAAGAATTGGTACAAGAAAGTCACTCCTTCAACTATTCTTTACTGAACTCCAACTGTGGTCCAGTCACTGTTCTCACTCAGGAAGACAGTAATGAAAAAGCAATGTCCTTGATGACATGATGTAGTGGTGAACAAAACAGACAATATGCTCTTGGGGCATCAGCATTTTAATAAGTGCTTTTGAAAACAGAAAACTCTGAACACCCTAAAGAATGAAAGTGCCAGAGTAAATGGTATGGCTGCTTTTGATATTCCATCAAATAACTGGTCTTGACATTTTCATTAAAGTTTCCAGTTGTAAGACAAGCAATTTTAGGGGCTTCCCTGGTCGCGCAGTGGTTGAGAGTCCGCCTGCTGATGCAGGGGACGCGGGTTTGAGCCCCGGTCCGGGAAGATCCCATGTGCCACGGAGCGGCTGGGCCGCTGAGCCTGCGTGTCTGGAGCCTATGCTCCGCGACGGGAGAGGCCGCAGCGGTGAGAGGCCCGCGTACCACAAAAAAAAAAAAAAAAAAGACAAGCAATTTTAGCAGTGTATCATTAGGTCAATTATCTCATTATTGATTAAAAATTCAGACACAGGGGAAAGAGGTACATAAACTGGGTAGAGTATCCCTTATTTTACTTCTTTCTAACACATTGCATGACAACTATGTGCCAGGTGCTAAACTAGGGATGGGGATACAAAGATGACTAAGTTTCATTCTCTGACATTGTAATGCTCACCTTGTAATAGGGAATATGGATGGCATATCCTGGCAATGTCTCTGACCTCCTCACCCTTGTACCTTACTTGATACTCATCCTGACCCTGACCAATACCCAGATCTTGACTCTGATGCTCACCCTAACCACTATACTACCCTCACCCTGGAGCTGACCCTCACCCTACCTTGACTCCGATAATGACTCTCACCCTGATCATATACACCTTCACTCTTTTTCTTTTTATAAATGTATTTATTTATTTATTTATTTATTTATTTATTTTTGGCTGTGTTGGGTCTTCACTGCTGCGCGCGGGCTTTCTCTAGTTGCGGTGAGTGGGGGCTACTCCTCGTTGCAGTGCGCGGGCTTCTCATTGCAGTGGCTTCTCTTGTTGCGCAGCACGGGCTCTAGGCACACGGGCTTCAGTAGTTGCGGCACGCGGGCTCAGCACTTGTGGTGCACGGACTCAGTTGCTCTGCGGCATGTGGGCTCCTCCTGGACCAGGGCTCAAACCCGTGTCCCCAGCGTTGGCAGGCGGACTCCCAACCACTGAGCCACCAGGGAAGCCCCTACACCTTCACTCTTATGTCACACTGATATTGAACCTGACTCTGATTCTCACCCTGATTCTCCCCTAAACAATGACCCTACATTCTCACCTTGTCCTTGATCTTAATACTCATCTTGTTTCTGAAACTGACATTAAACTTCACCCAAAATTTGACCCTTATTTGGCCTCCCTCTACCTCTGATTCTCACAATGAACCCAAGAGTAACCTTGATTCTCAACCTGACCTTATCACCCTGACACTGACTTAAGAGTACACTCCTCACCCTGACTCTGACCTCTGCCTTAACTCTGAGAACAAACTTTTCACTGACCATGACTCTTATTTTGACCCTGACACACACTTTAACCCTGATTCTGAACCTGAAACTGATCCTGATCCTTTCTGTGACCCGAAGCTCACACTCACCATGACAGTGACCCTGTACCTCACCCTCATCCTGTCTGTGATCCTCTCCTTGACCCAAAGCTTGGTCCTGACCCTCATTACTAACCTCACCCTGAACTGAACCCTACCCTCATCCTGAGCCTGACACTCTATCATCATTAAATATCTGATCAATACCCTGACCCTGACCAGAGCCTGACACTGACCCTGATACTGACCCTAATCACTATTTTGACCTTGGCCCTGACGTGAGCTTTGCCATCATCAAGATGAGTTTGAACATGAAATCTTGTACACTTATACTCTGGTTTTATTGAGATTCCTTGTAACTCATGGTAAGAATGTACTTTTGAGAACTATGTATACTTTTGAACTTGCTTACACTTGCACTGCATGCTTTCAAATACGCTGCTTTGATCTGTTAATATGGTCTACCTCAAAGTAAGAAGTGCAGTTGAGAAGCACATGTAGTTCTCATTGATTTGCCTCAGATAGAGCCTGGGTTCAAGTCTGTTAATTCTTACAGTCATTAAGAATTTTCTTTAGAGAGGAAAGTTTGATTCTGAACTTGATTTCTTCTTTACAGCTTGTCTGTACACATATATGCAATTTTCAACTATGTTTGCTTTAACTCACAATGAGAAGTAACTCTTGGAAACAATGTGTAAATGTGACCTCCTTTTCACGTACACATCTTAGGTTATTCTTACCCAGTTCAAACTCGTAAGAAGGAAGAACAGTTGAGATAAAGTGTATTTGAGTTCTGTTTTTGTTTTTTTTCCTCACATAAATCTTACATATGTCTCAGTTTAGGCAAACAAGAAGTAGTATTGAAAACAATTCATATTGGTGCAAATCAGCTCAGCCTCAGACATTCCTTTCATAAGAAAGTCTTCCTTTCTCCTTAAAGTGAGATAAACATAAGGACAGCAAAACACATTCATTTCAAAGGCACATTCTTACTTAAAGAAAAAAAAAAAAAAGATATAAAACACTGTTTACAAACCATAATTTTAATTGAGCCCTTATTTCTTAAATTATCAGTGATTTAAAATATGCAAATGCCTTTGGATGATGATACATATATATTTGTATTTGCCTTCTCAAAATTTTTAATTAATATGAGATAATGCAAGCAGAAACCAACACACCATTGTAAAGCAATTGTACCCCAATAAAGATGTTAAAAAAAAAAAAAAAAAATATGAGATAATGCTCACATAAAAAAATTACCTGGATGGTTTTTAACTTTCTGTCCTCTAGGTGTCACTTATGTCTACAGAAAAAGAAAAAAAAGAATGATTACTTCAATTAAAGATAAAAATTAATGTAGATAGTTGATTACACTAAGTACAAGAATTACAGAGAGAGATTCTACTCAATTTTCTATGTGTTTATTTTAAAAAGTTGTTGCAGTTCATTCACATAATGAATGTAACACGATCTATATACTGTTTTATTTAGTATACTGGCAATTAAATTACATTTTCGAGCTGTATGTATAAACTTTAAATTACTACCTGATTTTGTGTTTGTATATCCACAAAAATACCCAATTATAGAATTGGCCCTGCTTTCTAACAACACCTAATTCAGAGCAAACCCTTCACTTCCATAGACCTTCCCCAAATCACCCAACAAAAGACCAAATTCTATAATCATTATTTAATAATAGTCTCTTACTGAGACACCCTCTGGCACACCACAGCTGTGTGTTCTCCCTCGATGCAACCAGTAATAAGCCCAGTTTATTCAATCACAGGTATATTCCTGGGAGTCATTGACTCAAAGGCACTGACAAGTCAAATGCATACATGGGCACAGGACCTGTGGAGTCAGCTTTGCTAGAGTTAGAATACCTTGTATTTTTGCCATTTCAATATGTTAAAATAATAGGATATAAATATTTACTATTAAAAAAAGAAAAGCTGGGTGGTTTTAAACTTTCTGTCCTCTGGGCATCTCTTCTGTCTAAAGAAAAAAAAAGGTTGCTTACTTTAATTAAAGATACTAATTATTATAAATGTTGATTATAATAGGTTTAATGATTTCACAGATCACAAGTCTATATATAGGATAATGGTATTTTCAGAAACTTTAAATTATCACCTATTTATATGTTTGCATATATAGGTGTGCTTGAATTCATACAAATAAATGTGTATTAATAGATCCTTTACTAAAATTTGTTACATAAATGATGTTTCAAAGAAATAAATTAGAATTTAGGTCTTTCATGTAAAAATGATTATTATTTTACGCCCGGATCAACAGAGGTTCCTTTTATCATCAAATTATTGTTAATTCTCAAAGTTTTATACATACTCTTCAATTATTCTTTTGAGATTCCCTTGGTTATACCTGACCTAATTTTACTTGTTAATGTTTAAAAAAAATAAAAATAAAACGCCATCGCACACTTTAATTCACCCCTAAAATATGGACCACGGTACCAGCAGGTGGAGACACGGAGCGCATGCGCTCCAGAAGCCGAAGCGTCACCCTTTGAACTACGAGCCCGCTGGCCTGCCCAGCGCTAGGGCACTTTTTGAAGGAACAGGTAGTGGCAATCTGATGTTTATCTGAGCCCCGACCCTGCCTCCTGTGTCGTTCTTCCTTCTGAGGAAAGAAGAAGATGCAACAGATCTCCCTGCTAACCCCTATCCTGGCCGGGCCACCGTAGCAGGTGCTCCTGGGGCTGCCGGGGGCTCCCTCGCGCTTGAACTTCGCGAACAGTGAAGGGGTTTTGAGAGCTTTGTTAATTTTAGTTTTAAAATTCCATTAGTTCTCTGGGTTGTTCTTGAGGACTTGTAGGTAATAAGGACGGTGGAGTTTCTGCGTAAAAGTACTTAATCGCAGCAATAGTAAAACGAGTATCTCAGCCATTAAAGTAGTAAGTGGGAATCCCTTGGTGGGAAAACAAAACCGAGCCACCCAAGTAGGGGCGCAGCTCTCCAGCAAGGAAAAACTTAGATGCACCCTGACAATAAATACACAATGGAAGGAACATATTTCTAATTCACTGAAAAAAGGATTTGTATGAAGTCCATTTGGAGGTGTTTAAAGGGCCCTAGGGCCCTTGGTTCCTGTCCAGCACCCACCTTGACAGTTTAAGGATTATGCGGTTGGCAGGTGGGACTTGCTTTGGAAACATCCTTGACGTCTACGTGTAAAATTAGGCTACTGCTGTTGGTCTGATATTGTTGCTGATTTGTCTTTGCTTTATGGGCAAAGCCATGTAGAGTTGGTGTTAAACTCCCTTTGCAAGTGTTTTGGCATATAATCAGCCCTCCGGAAAATGTAATGAACATGCTAAGTTGAAATAGGCACTTGTTTCTGACATTCTTTGAATTTCTCCAAGACTTTTCTTGTCTGTATGATTATAAGAGCATTAATCTAGGTTAACATTTTTTTTTTAAACGTAATAGTGGTCAGCTGAGGCACTGCTGTGAGATTCTAAGTCTTTGACCTTTCATTTTTTATTATAGCTATTTTCTTAGGTACTAACAAACCACCTAAAAGTTCTTTAATGTGTTGTCCAATTTATTTAGGACTTTCAAGATTAGAAACAGCTTTGTTTCTAAGTGACTCTGAATTTGTGAGCTCCCATGAGAGCACATCTGTATAAATATTTGCACTTTTATTTTTTGTGAGCAGGCAACCCTGAGTGAGGACAATTATGCTAGTCATCTGAACTGATTTAATTTCTGGAAGTTGTCTGTCTAAAGGATGACTTTAACTCTGTGATAGCATTTTTAACTTTGAACAAATTAGGTCAAGGCTATCCAAGGGACTCGCTGAGAAAATGTTTGATGAGTATGCAAAAAGCATAAGCATTAATAGTTAACCAACAGTTAACAGCTGGTGACAAAAAGGAGCTTCTGTTGATCTGGGCATACAATAATGAATCATTTTACACAAAAGACCCAAATTTTAATTTTATTCTTTTGGCACATTAATTGTGTAACAAATTATAGTAAAGGATATATACCTTTTTTGTATACATCGAGACATACATAGATACAAAACATATAAATAGGTAAAAATTTAAAGTTTTAAACTATAATTTTAAAATATAATTGTCAGTATACTAAATAAAATATCATCTTAAATTTATGTGAATAAAGTGCACAACTTTTAAAAATAAACAGAAAATCACCTCATGTATATACCTGTATCTCTGCAGTGCTTGTACCCAAGATAATCACCTGTCTACACCAAGTACTTTCTTCAGTTAATCACTCCTTTCAGGGCTTCCCTGGTGGCACAGTGGTTGAGAATCTGCCTGCCAATGCTAGGGGACATGGACTCAATCCCTGGTCCGGGAAGATCCCACATGCCGCGGAGCAGCTAAGCCCGTGAGCCACAACTACTAAGCCTGCATGCCGCAACTACTGAAGCCCGCGCACCTAGAGCCCGTGCTCCACAATGAGGGAAGCCACCGCAATGAGAAGCCCGCACACGTCAACGAAGAGTAGCCCCCGTTCACTGCAACTAGAGAAAGCCCGCGCACAGCAGCAAAGACCCAACACAGCCAAAAATAAATAAACTAAATAAATTTATTTTTTAAAAAAATCTCTCCTTTCTTTTTTCTCTAGACATAAGAGACACCTAAAGAACAGAAAGTTTAAAACTCTGTAGGTAATTTTTTATGAACATATATCTCATATTAAAAGCTGTGAGAAGGCAAGTACAAAGATATAACCCATGATTATTACTAATTGAAGATATTTGCTTTTTTTTTTTTTTTTTCCGGTACGCGGGCCTCTCACTGTTGTGGCCTCTCCCGCTGCGGAGCAACAGGCTCCGGACGCACAGGTCAGCGGCCATGGCTCATGGGCACCACCACTCCGCAGCATGTGGGATCTTCCCGGACCGGGGCACAAACCCGTGTCCCCTGCATCGGCAGGCAGACTCTCAACCACTGCACCACCAGGGAAGCCCTATTTGCATTTTTTTTAATCCATGGACATTTTAAGAACAAAGGGTCAATTAAAATTATTTAGTAAGCAGTATATATTTTTCTTTCCTCTTTTTAATAAGAATGTGCCTTTTAAAGTGTTGTGCTATACTTGGGCCTCCCTGGTGGCGCAGTGGTTAAGAATCCGCCTGCCAATGCAGGGGACATGAGTTCAAGCCCTGGTCCGGGAAGATCCCACATGCCGCGGAGCAACGCAGCCCATGCGCGACAACTACTGAGCCTGCACTCTAGAGCCCGCGAGCCACAACTACTGAGCCCACATGCCTAGAACCCGAGCTCCGCAACAAGAAAAGCCACCGCAATGAGAAGCCCATGCACTGCAACGAAGAGCAGCCCCCGCTCGCCACAACTAGAGAAAGTCTGCGTGCAACAAGGAAGACCCAACACGGCCAAAAATAAATAAAAAATAAATAAATTTAAAAATAAATAAATAAATAAACTGTTGTGCTATACTTACGTTTATCTTGCTTTACTCTGAAAAGCAATACAGAGTTATTTTTGAAAAGAATGTCTGAGACTGAGTTTGTTTATACTAATATGGATTCTTTTCATTACTATTGTACTACCTAGACTCTTCCTCATCAGCTGTAAGGATGTGCCTTTGAGATGAACATCCACATTTGTGTTCATCTTGGTTTACTCTAAGGAGCACCAAGGAGTTTCTTTTGTGAGAAATGTCTGAGACTGAGCTTCTTTCCATTAATACAAATTTTTTCCAGTTCTACTTTCTGTTTGCCTACACTGAGATGTAAATAAGATTTATATAAGAAAAAATACCTCAGAAACTCACACTTATCTCCATTGCATTTTCTTCCTCTTAGTTAGAGCAAGATAAGAGGAATCTAAGCCATATACGTGAAAATGAGTTCATGTTTATACACTGTTCTCCACAGTAACTTCTTATTTTGAGTTAAAGCAAATATCATTGAAAATCATATCTGTGTGAACAGACTAGCAGTAAAGAAGAAATCAGATGTTAGTCTCTAAAGAAAATTCTTATTGACTGCTAGAATTAACCCATGCTTTTACTGAGGCAAATCAACGAGAAACACCCGTTCTCAAAAGTAGACCATATTGACATAGATCAAAGCAGCACATTTGAAAATACAGAGTACAAGTGTAAGCAAGTTCAGAATTATACATCGTTCTCAAAAGTGTGTTCTTATTGCTAGTTATAAGAAATCTAGATGAAACTAGTGTGTAAGTGTACAAGATTTCATGTTCAAACCCAGCTTGGTGATGGTAGGTCACTGTTAGGGTCAGAACAATTCTGAAAAGCATTATGAGAGTCAGAGTCACATTGAGGGTCAGACAGCGTGAGGTTGAGGGTCAAAGTCATGATGACACTGATCTTTAGGAGCCTGGTGAGGGTCAGGATCAGTGTCAGGATCTGGGTCAGAGTGTACGTCAGGGTCAAGTTGGGGGTCAGGGTCAGTGAGGGAGTTAGTGTCAAGGTTAGAGAGAAGAGAAGGTCTGACACAAGTTCAGAGTGACGGTGGGTATACATTTCAGAGTCAGGGTGAGGGTAAGGTTGAGGATCAAAGTCACTGTCAGGGCCAGGCTAAGGGTGGTGATAAGAGTTAAGGTAAACATATGAATGAACTTCAGGGTCAGGGTGAGGGTTAGGATCAGGGTCAGGGTGAAAGTGAAGATGAGGCTCAGAGTGATAGTCATTGTTCAGCCGAGGGACAGGATGAGGATGTGGGTCAGGTTGAGGATTCCAATCAGGTTCACTGTCAGTGTGAGGTAAGAATCAAGGTATGGGCTTCCCTGGTGGCGCAGTGGTTGAGAGTCCGCCTGCCAATGCAGGGGACACGGGTTCGTGCCCCGGTCCGGGAAGATCCCACATGCCGCGGAGCGATTGGGCCCGTGAGCCATGGCCGCTGAGCCTGTGCGTCCGGAGCCTGTGCTCCGCAACGGGAGAGGCCACACAGTGAGAGGCCCGCGTGCCGAAAAAAAAAAAAAAAGAGGGTACATATGAGCTTTAGGACCAGAGTGAGGATCAGGTTGATGAAGGCGGGGCTCTGTGCACTTATGTGGGTAGGGGTCAAGGTTCCAGACATGGTGAGAATAAGGATGAAGTTCAGGGACAGGGTCAGGGTCAGATTCAGAACGAAGGTCAGGGTCAGAGTCAGCATGAGAGTCAGTGTAAGGGTGAAGGTCAAGTCACATTCAGAGAGAGGTGGATGGTCAGAGTAAGAGTTTGTTGATGGTCATGGTCAGTGTCAGCTTGAGGGACATGGTGAAAGTCAGGGTAAAGGTTAGGATCAGGTAAGGTTCAGGGTCAAACTCAGTTTCTGGGTCAGTGTGAGAGTAGTGTCTGAGTCAGGGTCTGCTTCAGGATCAGGGTGAAGGTTTTCAAGGTAGGATGGCGATCAGGTTCAGTTACAGGTAGGGGCAAGTTGAGAATCAAGTTCAAGTAAGGGTTGAGGGTGGGAAGGTCAGAGCCAGCATTAGAGTGACCTCGGGATCAATTTGGGAGATGGTCACGGAGGATGAGGGTCAGGTTGAAGGCCAGTGTCAGGTCACATTTGGGACAAGGTCATTGTGAGGCTCGTGATTAGGATCAGGGTAAGAGTAGAGTCCAGCACAAGTTCAGAAAAAGATAAAGGTGAGGGTCAGGCTACCAGGAATGTGAGTGCAAGGAACAAGGTAAAGGTCAGATTCAGAGTGTAAGTGTGAGGGTTATGGTTAGGATCGAGTTATGTGCAAGGTTGAGGGTCAGTGACAATGTCATTGTTATATTTAGGGTCAGAGTTAGGGAGAGATTCAGTGTGGGGTTTTCAGAGTAAGAGTAGTCAGGGTGAATATATAGATTAGGGTTGTTCAGTCAGCATCAAGTTCAGGGTCATGGTGAGGGTCACAGTTGGTTTCATAACTGTGGTCAGGGCCAGGTTGATGATGAAGTTCAAATTCGTGGTCAGGTTTAGGGTAAGGATCACGTTGAAGGTCAATGTCAGGGTGATGGTCAAGGTCAGGTAAGGTTCAGGATCAGTGTCAGGGTGTTGGTCACATTGAGGATGATAATCAGGGTGAAAATCAGGGTCAGGTTGAAGGTCAAGTTCAGGAGTAGGGTTAGTAGTAGAATCAGTTTCAAGGTGTCATCATGGTCAGATTTAGTTTGAAGATCAATGGAGAGGATTAGATAATAGTCAGGAACAAATTGAGGGTCAGATTCAGAGTCCATTTTAGAGTCAGGGTCAGGGTACTATCAACATGATGGTGAGGGTGAGCCTGAACGTCAGGGTCTTGAAGAGGGTGAACAATCAGGGTTAGTGTGCAAGTCACGGTCAGGATCAGGAACATGGTAACTTTGACAAGTTCAACGTGATGGGTGAAGATGAGAATCAGTCAGTGTCAAGGTCAGGATCAGGGTGAGAGTCTGCGTCAGGGTATCAGGCTCAGGAACATGGTGAAGATCAGAGGCAGGTTTAGGGGAAGGATCAAGGAAAGGATTCAGTTCAGCTTCAAGCTAAAGGACAGGAAAACGTCAGGGTGTGTATCAGAGTCAAGGTAAGGGTGAGGGCAAGGGTCACCAACACTTTGGGGGTGGCTTATTATACAGGATAAAATACGCTATTCCTTAGAGGGGCATTATTTATGCACAGAAAGCCAACAGCTACTTCATGATCCTCCACAGCTTTACTGTCCAGACCACCATTTCAGGTCTTTGGAAAGACCTACCTGAAAAGCTGTGGACTCTTAGAACCCATCTAGAACAATAAGAATAAGCTGCAGTCCTCCACGGCATGGCTTCCTTCAGGCCCAGGGAGCCAGTGCTCTGGGTTGGGTCCCAACCTCCTCCAGGCACATTTTAATTCTCTATCTTGGAATGAGAGGATGGCTGCTTGCAAGTTCCCTGGCCTTTCACCGATATTCCCCAACCTGCAGTGAGAAGCAAGTGCTGGATGAGACATTGTAACCACTAGCCCTCCAGCCAGAGACTTCTTGCTGTGACCCAGTTGTCTCATCTGTAAAATCGGGGATTTGGATTTGATGGTCTGTTCACACTCCATGGGAACATTTCAGGCACTGACTCCTAGCTTTCAGGTCCTGCTTCTCTTCTGAAGCCTGCAGAATAACATTTCCCAGCTTTGAAAATTCGCATCCCAAATGGCCCAAAAATGCAGGGTACCGATCTCACCTCACAATTCAGAGCCCACCTCCTACACAGCTGCAGGGGTCAGGGAGATTCTGTTTCTATTTCTATAGTTTGTGCTATGAGGATAAGAGATATTTTTGACATCTCCCTAACTATGAAAACTGTAATATGAAATCTGCTTTTTCAAACAACAGCCTACCTCTCACTCCCTTAGAAGAGCCCAGCAAGCTTTCTCAGGCTGTCATTTTCAGGTCTCTTTTCACCTCCCTTTTGGGAATCTCTGCTCTCATATCATTTAAAGATATTGATTATCTGCTCGACCACTACCCTGTTCTCCTTCTTTTTGTCCTGGTAGCCTGTGTTTGGTGTCAGTTTTCAGATAAGAAAAGAGAGTACTGTTAAGGCTTTATTTATAATGTCCTTGAAAGCTCAGTGTTGACTTCTTAGAGCTAAAAAACTGGCGGGTTAGGAGGAGAGACTCAAAGCAGAGGGTCATCCCCACGGAGATGACAGCACGGGAAGCACCAGCGTGGGCACGTGGGCGTGTCCCCAGGCAGGCATGCACGTGCCTGCACATACACGCAGCACACACTTAGCGTCCAGGTCAAAATGAATAAAGAGAAAAGAAACGCAGGTCCAGGGAAAGAGGGGAAATGCCAGGAGCATAATAGAAACTCGATACATGTTTGGTGAAAAGAAGACCAGAAAAGAGGAAACAAGCGGGGAAGGGAGGAATTCAGAGAGGTAGCAAATTTAGTTCAAAAAGCTCGGAACTTGGAGTCAGGGGACTTTCATTTGAAGCCTGGCTCTGCTCGATTTATTAGATTTGCTAGAAATTCGAGCTCGGGAAAGTTTCTTGGCTTCTCTGATTTTGGGTTTCCTCTTCTCTCAAGTGGGTGTAGCATTGCCTTTCCAACTAATCTCGTAAGATGGCTATAAAAATCAAACATAATCATGGTTATGGATGTTCTTTGTAAAGTGAAAAAACTGTCAACACACGAGGCTCTGAGCCACCTCGACAGAGCCGGCATTGTGTAGAGCTGTTCGCCAGCCACTGTGACACGCTCTACGTACATTAAAGCGTTTAACCTCACAACCGTCCTGCAGGTATAAACTCTTATTATTCCTCTTCTACAGATGAGGAAACACACAGAGAGAGGGTCATTTGCTGAAAGGCACGCGCCTAGGAAGCAGTTAACTGAGATTCATATAAGGCTTGCCTGAGTCCAGCAGCCAATTCCCTTCATCACGCTGCCACCTCTCGGACCTTAATATGTACCCAGAGCCATTTAACATACCCACGTGAGATGAAGTCCATTTCCCGGTGTTAACTGACACTGCGTGAGTCACCTTGGGCTGCCAGAACAAAACACCATAGCCTAAGTGGCCCAAACAACAGAAATGTATTCTCTCACAGTGCTGGGGTTGGAAGTCCAAGATCAAGGTGCTGGTAGGGTTGGTTTCTGGTGGGAGATATCTTTCTGGCTTGCAGACGGCCGCCTTGTGTCTGGGTCTTCACGTAGCTTTTTCTCTGTACGTGTGGAGAGAGAGTGGGATCTCTGGTGTCTCTTCCTCTTCTTATAAGGACGCCAGTCCGTAAGATTAGGGACCCACCCTTAAGACCTCATTCAATACCAGTTACCTCCCTAAACGCCCTATCTCCAAATATTGTCACATGGTTGGGGGGGGTCAGGATTTCAACATATGAATTTGGGGAGGACATAATGCAGACCATAACAGACATGTAATAGACACATACTCCAAAAAAACAAATATTCTGTCGACTTTTTCTCCCCAAGGAGGAATTTTTTTAAATCCCATCCCATCACCAGCAGCCACTGCAGCAGAATTCTTCAGCTCTGAGTCCTGCCCAGATAACTGCTCCCCCACAAAGCCAAGCAGCTCTGCTGTAAAATGAATGAAGCGGGTTTCGTGCAAAATATCTGAAACGTTCCTGCTCTCTCCCTCCCTCCTGTTCAAGAGCATTCTGAAGAAGTGAAAGGTCTGTCCCTTGTTCCCCTCTTGCCAGGCGTTCCTATTTACAGTTTCTGGCGAGTTTGAAGGGAGTCAAGAGTTTTCAAATCACTCCCATGGCTTTGCAGCATACTTTCCCACCCCCTTCTCCTGGGTCGTTAGAAATTATTATTCCTGGTTCCCATGGGGTGGCGGTGAGGGGAGAAAGGAAACAGAAAGAAAGGTTTGCAGTATGCGAAGCTGCAAGCTCTTTTAAAAACCAAAAAAAAACCTCAGAGGAAAAGACATTGTGGTTTTCTGCCTGTAATGTTTTCTGTTTAGGTCTGCTCCCGGTCAGTCTGTTCCCTAAAACTTAGAGCAGGGCTTCCCTGGTGGCGCAATGGTTGAGAATCTGCCTGCCAATGCAGGGGACATGGGTTCGAGCCCTGGTCTGGGAAGATCCCACGTGCCGTGGGGCAACTAGGCCCGCGAGCCACAACTACTGAGCCTGCGCGTCTGGAGCCTGTGCCCCGCAACAAGAGAGGCCGGGACGGTGAGAGGCCCGCGCACCGCGATGAAGAGTGGCCCCCGCTCGCCACAACTAGAGATAGCCCTCGCACAGAAACGAAGACCCAACGCAGCCAAAAATAAACAAATTAACTAATTAATTAAAAAAAAAAAAACTTAGAGCAAAAGTTTCATGTGGACTTCATCCTTGAATCCTACTTCACAGAGATGCTGATGAGTCCAAGGGCAGACTGAGAAAGGCCAGAAAGGTTTGTTGCCTGGATGCCAGAAACCATTAAAGGTTTTACAATTCATCTCCCTACTCCTGGAGGCACATGATAAATTACCAGCATTCATCTATCTAACAGGATCAGGCTTCAGAACTTGTGAGCCATATGTTCACGCCATTGTTTTGTGCAAATAGATACTCTAAATATGCAATGATCTGGCACATTTCAGGAGAATTTATCAAAACGTTCTCTTGTCCCCCAACACGTATATTCATAAAAAATAATACTGAATAATTCCAAGCGGCAGCCATGCACGCGATTCCAGACTGTAAGTTCAGTTTGCACATTTAATGAAGGTTATTTGTAATTATAAGTAGAAAAAAAAAAAAAAGCTCAGTAGCCAGAAGTACTTATGGAAGATAGAATGAAGCTTGTATGTTACAGTTTTTACAGATGGATGGTAGAGGAAGGGTAGAAATGTGGTTGAACTTGGTTTATTCCCAATAAAAATTCTGGATTGGGTGGTCAGCCATCTGGGGCAAGAACAAACGTTCTTTCCTATGTGACCATGAAATCAGTCACACTCCATCTTTACTCTCATAGTGCTAATCTCACATTTTCTGGAGAAGAAATTAATATATTTTAAAAATTTCTCTGTTACCAGTGCTTCCTCCCTGGTTACCACAGTCAACAATAGAAGTTCTGGGCTTCTAAAGAAAACAAGACTAATAGTTGCATTTCAAGTCAACAAACTGTAAGTCAGGAAAAAATCTGGAGGAAAATGTATCAAATTGGCAATATTGGTTGTTGCTTCGAGCTGACTTTATGCAGGTCATCTTAATTGTTTTTAAAAGTTTTGAATTCACTGACTTATTAGACAACATTTAAAACTGCTTTAACTTTTTAATTTGGGAAAATTTTAAAATACATAACACCGGAAAATAGAATAAATGCCTGCATACTTTCCAACCAAAATGCACAAATGTTAACATTGTTTCCACTTTTCTTCAAATCTTTTCTTTAAAATACCTGACAAAATTACAGATTAAATTGAAATCCTCTCTACAGCCCTTACAAGCCCCATGTTTCTGTTTACCTCCCCAGAGGAGGCCACTAGTGTGAACTTGGAACACATCCTTCAGCCAGAAGCATATGTGGCCCATCACTTACGTAAGATATCGCTTTGTGTGTCCTTAAACCATTGTATAAACATCTTACCGTATCATCCTTCAACTTAATTTTGCATTCTCATGTGTGTTCTTAAAAGCGTTCCTCCTGGGCTTCCCTGGTGGCGCAGTGGTTGAGAGTCCGCCTGCCGATGCAGAGGACACGGGTTCGTGCCCCGGTCGGGGAAGATCCCACATGCCGCGGAGCAGCTGGGCCCGTGAGCCATGGCCGCTGAGCCTGCGTGTCCGGAGCCTGTGCTGCGCAACGGGAGAGGCCACAACAGTGAGAGGCTTGAAAAAAAAAAAAAAAAGCGTTCCTCCTAATACTTGCTGACATTTTTTAAATGTTTATTAAATTTTCAACAATTTACATTAATTCGCAGGAGGAAACATTTCTTAACCTTAATAAGTCAAAGTAACTGAGAGACACCTGTAGTCCCAGCACTTTACAGAATATTATCGGAGACTGCCACTCCCTGGGTGGCTGTCGTTGGGAACCTCTGAGACAAGGACTTCGGTGCAATTCATCTATCGGCAGAGTCCCAGGAAGCGCGAGTGAGCAAGGCGGTGGGGCTGAGAAAGCCAGTGTCAATGTACCTTTGCTCAGACTGCACTGGTTGGGGGCAACAGGGCCTCAGTACCACCAGGACCTTTTGAAAAGCACACGACACGCTGCCCAGGATTATCCACCTCAAGAAATGGAGGATGGCAGACTCATACGCAAGCTCCTCTTCCCCACTGGTTGAACATGGACCCCAGGGCATTAGCTTCCCCGATGCTTTTGGGCTGCACCTTCCATGGGGGCCATGAGGGCCTCAGGAAAGTCTCCAAAGCAGAACGAGACAGAAACACAGTGCACGCTCCAGTGGGATGTGGCTAGCCAGGGTGGGTCTGAGCTCACCCAGAACTGCTGGGTCTTCTGAACCCGGGCCTCCAGATGGGGCCATAAAAGCTAGACAACAGGCAGTGGAAGGCCTCTTTCTTCCTTACAAATGAATCTGATTTGACTACACAGAGTAGGCTTTGAACGTCTTTAAACAATTATAGATACATCTTACTGTATCATTCTTCACCTTCATTTTGCATCCTCATTATGCTTTTTTGTTTTTTATAAATTTATTTGTTTATTTTTGGCTGCGTTGGGTCTTCGTTGCTGCGCGCGGGCTTTCTGTAGTTGCAGCATGTGGGCTCAGTAGTTGTGGCTCGCGGGCTCTAGAGCACAGGCTCAGTAGTTGTGGCGCACGGGCTTA